ATATACGTCCGTGGTGCTAACACCTTAACCAATAGACCAAAGAGTTTCCTGGGATCAAGTGGCTAGGTTCAATCCAATACAGCAATACATTCATGATATTAATTTACAGTGTGAATATTCCTGTCAGAGTGTAAGAGCAAAACCTAGTACATGTATAATGTTAAATTAATATCCTTGACGTGAAGCCAAATTAAAACCATCAGCCCTCATCATCTGGACGGGGGCCAGTTGTTACATCATCAGGCATCAGCCATTTAGGGCTCAATCCAATGAGCCCCATCCAATCATAGGACTAGCAAAAAGTGTGTAGGGGGGCCCTTCTGCCACCAATGGTCACACCCCTACATTGCTAAACAGTACTTTCTGTTGCATTTTCAACATCTTGATCTTGGGGGTTTGGGGTTGTTGGTTGGTTTTTTTTTCTTAGTTTTTCGTTTCTTGATCACTGAAAACCAAAGTGTTCAACTGGAAGCAAGGCCATGTCCAAACGTACAAAAGTACTAATTAAATGCGCTTATTCATTTATTTATTTATTTATTTATTGACGTTCAATTATGCGTAGCCGGCCACAACACTGTTTCTCCAAGAGAGATAATGAAGTTTACTTCAACCTGAACTTTGAACTCTCTTATCATAACTTTGCAGGCTACCATACGTTAGTACAGGCAGCTTTTGCCAGCTGGGTCACCAGTACGACCAGCACATAGGCTGGCGAGGGGATGGGCGTTCCTCTTCTTTTTTTAAAATTTGTCTGTGCCATTGATAGGCAGGCATCGTTTTTAGTTCCCTTGTACATCCCTATAACTTTTGTGGACTGTTCGTGTCTTTTGAAACCCCCCCTTTGAAGGAAAATGAAACATTCCAGCCTGCCTGTAACAACACTCAACTGGTTCAAAGGATCACGGTGCTCGACATTCTGAACTTGCACACACAGCGAGAAATAATCTCCCAAGCATTTCTCTACTACCTGACCAGTTTTCTGATTTCCCCCGGGTAAGTCTGCAAAATTTCCACTATATTCAGACAAATTTTCCCTTCAGTATGATTCATTTTCATGACAATGAACTCTTTCACAAGCCCACAAGTTTTAGAAATGAGGTCAATTTTTTATTACCTGTAAAATGCACCTTTGTGCCTCAGTAAACCCTATTTTCAATTTGGTTTCACTGTTCCATCGGGTATATAATGCCTTGATGTTTTATGCTGAGTATTTCCATACTCATGAACACAACTGTTATGTCATCTCAGAAGAAGCCTAAATGTTACAATGGTTTGTACACGAGAAAATCCTGCATTTTTGTAGATTTTCGTGGACTAAGTTTTCTCTTTTTTGCTGATTCACTGTTATTTATGTGCATAGCAATCAGAATCCAGCAATCCCTCTCTCAGAAATGTTTTCAGTTAGGGCCAGCGACCATTTAGACCCGGTTTGAAAAGGACTCCCAGTAAGCTCGCCCTGTTGCAAAAACCCCTTTCATACCGGCCTGGCTACCGGCCTGGCTACCGGCCTGGAATGCTGGACTGGTTGTTGTTCTCGAACTTCTCCATCCTTGGGTCTATTGTTTGCAAGTTACTGGTACATGTAATCTATCCCAGAAGGAACCTGCTTGTGGTTTTTAATCCTTCAGCACTATACAATGTTTACACTAATCAGCTCAGACCTCTATTCATCTGTGGAAGCAGGGGGGGGGAAGCCTTTCATCAGGGAATTTGAAATGCGGATGTGCAGACAGGCCCGGTATACCGGCCTTGAGTAGCCTGAATACCAGGCAGGCACTATACAGAGTGGGCTAGGGGGGGCCTTTTCAAACCGGGTCTAAATGGTCGCCGGCCCTTACAGAATTCTGGGTTGACAATTTGAACAGGAATACCTATGCACTGAACCGGGTAACCTTTGTGACCTCCCCAAAGTACATGTACTATTAGCAGAAGGTGCTCCACCTTCAGGGGATCATTGTGTGGGCCTCTTCCCCCTTACAGGGCCTACGCAATCCACATTTTAATACAGTCCTTATGATAACCCTGTGTAGTACCCCAATGAACTCTGTTTCTAAAATTGATCTTCAAGGACATTTTGGAAACCTTTGGGTTGAAAATTAACACGTGCAAATTCATGTATTATTCTTCAATAAGCCAAGTTTGGGATTCACAATCTGAATACAGAAAAAGAACCCAACTTGAACATCAGTGCCTTCCTAATATTACATTGCACAAACAGCATTTCTCTTCGTCAGGTAAAGGGGAAATATTCAAAGATTACAGAGTGCACTTCAGTTTTTATATATTTGAGAGAAGAAAACAGTAACACAAAGCACATTCCAAAGTAACATTGGTGAAATGGGCCCTTCAACTTTTTCAGGGCACTGGCCAGCAGCCAGCCTTGAATGCTGGTAAAATAAAACTGGGTTACGCAGCCTAAGGCCGAGTCCGAAACGGGCTTCCAGAGCTATGGCTGGTCTATTGTCTGTGCGTCTCCACGTACTTTCAATGGAGTGAAGACCTAGGCCTAGCTCTAGACAACAGATTCGGATGCAGACTAACTATGACAGCACAATGGCCAATTGGAGAGTGGGGTGGGATTTCTATCTAACTATAATATGATGTTACCCCGTGCACACCAAGATGCGGAAGATTCTAGTGGACAAAGAGCTAAATAACATATTATAATATACTTAGAAAGCTTGTAGGGTGTGGCAGAAGCATACGTTTCAATTGCACTTATCAAATTAATGTGGGACACTGGCAGATGAAATGGGAGGGCAAGCCCTCCCCCATGAACAATTTAGTTTTGAAATAATGAGAAAACCAAGAATTTAAAGGACTTTTTCACTTCTAAAAATGTGTACAGAGCCCTACAAGGGGCTTCTTGTAAAGGCCATAAAAGGTTGCAAAGAGAAATTTTGGAATTTAGGTGAGCCCCCCCTAGAAAATTTGCCTCTGGTTCTGCCTTTCACTCTTACCTCACAGCCCATGATGAAGTAGTCGTAAACCATCTCGTAGCGATAAAGCAGAACCGACTCAATCTTTGGCAGGGGGTTGACGGCACCGGTGCCCGGCATCTCTGCCAGAAAAGCCACAGACCTGGGATAGAAAACAGGCAAAAATGAGACTCGTGATCGAATCAAAAAAAAATTAGAAATACTGTGAACCAATCTGGCAAAATGAGTTAGAGTTGGGTGGCTCTGGTTTCAGTTTGCATGAGAAAGGGCAAACTGAGTTTTCTGTTTTGACAGATTGCTCATTTCTGCATCCTGACAAAAATGAATGACAGACAGGTGAAAAATTGTGAGGATTCCCAATCATTGACGGCACCCATGTTTAAACCCAACAATGGCTGGGTTAACAATTGCAGAAATATCCTCACAATGAGCAAATTTTTAGAGTCTATAAAAGGGTCTAGCGCTTGTCTACGAATTGAGAAATTGTGGTCATTTGTTTTGCCGTCAACTTTGGATATTATTGTGCAGATGGACAGAGTTTAGAGGTTTAGCAATAACACGACAAGGCATAGCACCGTGCTGAGCAGATATATTGCTGTATATAATTATGTTCACTGATGTTTACTTAGCCGCGTGGAATGAAAGATCAAATATGACATCATCAGGGGCCATCTTGAGTCTCAGGTCACATAATACTTTCCACAGAGGGTGACTCTGAAAGACGAGGGCACTTCAGAAATTCTGCTGTGTCAAAGTTTTCAACACCAGCGTCCGTTCTCTCAGGAGTATATTACACCCTTTAGAAGTCTTTTCAACTATATGCGATTGCTTTGCAGAGCTTGTATGGTGGAGAGCGGCAAGACATGGCCAACCAGGTGAGAGTTATTGTGTGGGGTTTACCCCGCACCTGCTCCTCTGTGCTTCTGAAGAGTCTCACCAGCCTCCCCGACTCCCAGATGATTTACGAATTATACACTGATGCATACTTCTGGGGACCGGAGAGGCTCGACCAGCAGAACTTCCCCACAGTGGAGGGGGGTGACCCGGCCATCAAACTGAGCAAAGACGGGCTGCTGAGGGGGTCAGCGTCTGGGTTCGACACCTCGATCTCTACCTTCGACTGGGTTAGGCGGCAACTGGAGGCCGACTACCCGGGCAAAAAGGTAATCATTGCCAAGGAGATTGCCCCCTGGCTGGACGGGAGGTACAAAGACCTCCCCAAGGGCTATCGCCACGTCTTCCTGATCAGGCACCCCTTCAAGATGTTCCACTCCTTCAAGAAGATCAACAGAGAGTTTCTGGAGCAAAAAAGGGGCCACCCGGTGGGCCTGGAGGAAGCTGTGTTGGATCAGTTGCCTCCCCACATCATGACGCCAGGAATGCTCTACAAGGAGATGACCGACTTGTGGCAGTACATCAAAGATAGCAACCTGGATCCCGATCCGATCATCGTGGATTCTGACGAGCTCCTCCAGAGTCCCCAAAATGTGCTGTCGTACCTCTGTGGGCAGTTGAGGATACCCTACACAGACTCCATCCTGTCGTGGGAGAAAGGTTTCAATTGCACAGGCAGCTGGGTTGTCAGCCAAGAGCATAAGCACCTGATACAGACCATGGACTCCTTCGTCAACTTCCGCAACAGCACCAGCTTCCTGAAGCCAAAGGGGACCAGCAAGGCCCCAGATTGGTCGACAGTCGATCCAGACATAAGACGCTGTGTCGAGTTCTCCATGCCTTATTTCTCCCAGATGTATGACAAGCGTGGGAAGTTTTAAATAGTATTTGCAAAAATTCTTTGCTAATGCTCAGGCAAACAAACAAATTTTTCCCTGTGTTCACAACCCTGGGCGTCCCTCCAAAATTTTACTGCAATTATGCTACTTTTTAAACCAACATGATTACAATTCACAAGTGAAATCACAGCTAAATTTAAAAACGGAATTAAAAAACGAAAGTAACTGCTCCTATCAATATATGTAATGAATATGGATTAACTTCAACATGGAAGTTTTCTTGCAAATATTTTGTCACGCCTTCAAACACGGGAGTTGAAACATTCAGGTGAAATGTAGTCAAACATTTGAAAGAAATACTCTAAAATACTCAGGTCTGACTTAATATCCTTCATAATAGTTTATTTTTTTATGAGCACAGCAATACATCAACACAAAATTCTTTGCTTCCGTCGTCACACACAGCACCGAGAAATTGCACAGCATTTGTAAAAAAAACAACTAGACTCACGTGTAGAGGTTTGTGGGCGCGTTGTACAAGGTGAACTCCACAATGACCGCCCTGGTCTGTTCGTCAATCCAGGAATTATTCTGCAAAAAGGCCAGTTGGCTCTGAGCCTCTTCCCTGACGGAACAAAGAGGGGGAGAAATTGGAAATTGGAAACTATCCGCAAGACTTGTCAAACAGTATTACGCAGATTTCATGTTAAAGTAGCCCGATTATTAATCTGAAAAAGTCAAGCATTCTTCAAATGTATGACCAATAAATTTACTCCAAATCATTGTCAAACTCACGTATGTTAATTTCATACATTCATGGATGCATTTGAAGGTATTACTTTCTTCATGCTTTGCTTAAATGGCTGTTACACAGTGACTAATTCAGTATACGCATCAAGGCAGCCGTGAGTAAAATGACACCACTCTCACAAAGTGGCCAAAAAACAATCAAAATCAGCTCTACTATACTTAACCTGAATGCGAACTGAAAAAATCTCCAAAAAAAAAAAGAACCCAATGCTTTCCCACATCAGTAGTATGCATAAATCAAGTCATGGCTTGGCTCTAAATTGAAGTCCCCCGCCGTCCCCCCCAATTTATCCCCGCAAAAAGAGTCTTACCGGCTGTTGTTGAGGCTGATTACAAATCCGTCCCCCTCGTAGGATCCAAAGTAGCCCCACTTGCAGTAGCGCTTCAGCGCCGCCTTACCGGCATGGATCCAGGCTCCCTCGGGCCCATAGGGCTTGGTGGACTGGCCGGCAAGGGTGTAGCCCGCCCGGCAGTCGGTGAAAAGCGGCTGGACCGGGGTGGCCAGGGGGCAGGTGCGGTGGCGGACGCGGACCTGGCGCAGGCTCGCCTTGCCCAGGAGAACGCTCTCTCCGTTCATGATGGAGATCTGTCCAAGGGAATCGAGAGACGCCGTGCAGGCCTTTCAAGGGTGGATCCCAAACTGGCTCACTGACCTCAATAGACCGTATTTGCGGGGGACCCTAATTTCAGTCAGATTCCCCAACGTAGTGTAGTTATTTGAAAATATTAAATTTAAAGAACCAGACTATATTCTACGATTTCCTTCCAGCCCCCAAAATACCCTGGTACCATCCCATTTAGTGTTTCAATCGTATACAATGTGACCCACTCTGTGAAAATGAGTCTTAAGTTGCCAAAGTTGCTTTGGAGTAAAAAGTCCTTTAGAATAATTTTGCACAGTGTAAATCAACAGGAACCCACAGCATTTTTCACCATGGAGTGTCCACTTTTGTCGGGATACCAAACTGAGTGATACATCACAACAAAACTCAAAATGTTCAGGAATATGACTGAAATTGGGAACCCCGCAAATACAGTCTGCTGAATACCTTCGCTGCTCCATCGATAAGAGGGTTCGATATCCACGACATCTCACATTCAGGACCAAAATCACATGACTGCATTACCACCAAAGCAACCAAATGATCCCTTGTTGTTTGTGCCTTGTTACTGATAGATTAATCAGATGGAGGTTCATGGAATTGACTGTGTAACCAATTATTAAAAACTACTGAACAAAACGAACGAACTTTTATCAGACACAAAATAATTACTGCAGCTCGAGTAGGAAAGATGTCAAGTGAACTGAAGTGATTTTTCTATCATCACCAAACACTGCACAGCTCCTGTGTTACACCCAGTGACAAGACCATCTAGATTTCCTAACCCTAACGGTTCCTGATGGTATGCTGGTCCAACGGCAAGGACAAAATAACCCACCTTTTCTTCGGAGACTGTTTCCGCGTTGTACCACTTTTCCCAGTACAGATTGTCCAACAGGTCCCCATTCATCCAGGACCAGAGCTCGTCGACGGATGAAACAGCAGTAAAGGGATGCGGTGTCCTGTATTATTCATACAATCAAACAGAGTAAACAGAATGTGGCACCTGTGTCCATTTCAAAAATTCATTCAAGGTAGCAATTTCAAGAAGAAAGGCAATTGTGGCTTAAAAGTCTTTCAATGATAGAGTTCAGTATATCAAAAAAGCAAGATCATTCGGGAACAAAGTAGGTGCATGAGTCCATGAAGGGCTCCCCTGATAGGGCAAACATTGCATACGAGTCCAACTGGCCTCTGACACGTTTCGTTACAGGAATACACTGTTGGAGTATCCAATTGGCTCATTCCTTTTGTCCATGTGTCGCTTTGTCCTGCGTACTTTTCCGAAAAGTAAGAACATTTGAGAAAACGTACAAAAACATGTGATTCTGTATGCGTGTTGATTTGGAATACCCAATGAACACATTCAACGATTACTTTCCTATACAGAGACTCCTTGTTCTGCGGCTCGATAATTTTTACTCACTTATCACAACAAACACAGATGGTAAAACCACATTTCAGAACTCAATCTACGCATGTAAATCTTTCTGGGCTTAAGGTTGGTTGGGGCTCACAGTCAGAGTGATCCAGCAAGAACGGAATTGGACTCACTCTAGGAAGGTCTGTCGGACTCCCCGGTTGACAGGATAGTGGTAGGTCACCTCGCGGCCGTACGCCATCCACATCAGGCAGGCAAACAGGGTGGAGTACATGATCACATCCCTGCAGAGATCAAAAGGCGGACGTTAGTTGAGCGGGGCACATTCTACTGCTTGCTGAAGTGTTGGCATTTTATTTGGGCAATGCCCCAAATGCTGTCTAGACAAATGGTTTGTTCTTGATCCTGTGGGAGATATCTGCCTTGAGCTGAAGTGCACCATCACCAGTTGTAAAGAGCTACATTGGCGGGGAGTGTTCATTTTGTTGGTAGCCATGTGACCCTTACGCCTGCATATTTATAGTCGTTTGTGAACCAGCAAAGTGCAGTTCCCACGAACGGAACCTCCATTGCCAGGAAAATCACAACCTCTCTTGGTCACACTCGAGGTGGACAATTACCATCCAGTGACTTACTTACAATTTATATCTTCTTCTTTCTCTAGCAATTGTTAATTAGCTTGTTTTTTGATAGCTTTCAAATTCCTTTTTCCCCCCAAGACATTTAAGCTTAGCCGGGCAGTCTTTCCGTAAAGGTTTTTAGGGGAGGGGGCTAGCTAGTGCCTTACTTTAGGATGGCCCACATGTTCTTCTCCTTCAGCATCTTCTCCTTGGCCTTCTGGAGCTCCTTTGCCTGGGGTGGGCGAGCGAATCGCAGGTAGCGCGAGCGCTGCCTTGCTGCTATGGCCTTTTGGAAGAACGACAACGGAAAAAACTCCCGCTGATTTAAAACAAGCCACCTTATCGAGGACTTCAAGACTTGGCAAGAAATCCAAACGCAGTGACCCAGAGGCTGAAATTTCCTATTCACCTTCTGTTTCTCATGATTGCAAGCGGTGACTCATATTTGTAACCCAACGTAACAAAGAGAGTCACCACTGAGTCACTATTGAGTAAAGGCTTCTGAATGTACCTTGCATGATGTAAATTAAGAGGCACCCCTCACCCGTCTATACCCATTCCATCATAATGCCAAACCAGGTGGACACTTCACAGACCTCAGGTTGATCTGTGCAACGAAACCTGAAGTGGAATTACTTTGAAATAGCTGGTCTTGCAACTTTTTTTGTGAGACTAGACCATAATTTTGTTCACTTCATTACACCGAGAACCAATTGGGCAGAGCTGCTGATCATAGCAACTTTGCCAAGCAGTAAAAAAACTGCTTAGCAGAATTAGCTTACAAGTCAAAATGCCATGTGTTGTATATATATTGTGACCGGTTTCCAGCTTTCTCGTGCTTAGCGTATTAATTTTCTCAGCATTTCCTTTTCTCTGCAAGAGAAAGTTTATATGAAGCGACGCCCAGATCTTTGGGCTGATGAACTCTCTTTACTCATCCAACTGACCTTGGCCATGTCGTTTTCGTAGCCTTCCAAGCGCGCCCTGTCCAGGCTTTTCTTGTCAATCAGGTCAACGTTGTCATCATAGTGATCGAAAATGTGGATGTTGTTCCTGTGCCGGACCGACTTCAGGATGGTGAACATCAGCATCTAGGGGAGAACATGCGCCAAAAGGTCCAGTTCAATCCGTTGAGCCCAAATAAGTAACACACAAGGGGAACTTTATCAACAGAGCAAAACAGAACAATCAAGTGCAAACTTAAAACCTGCCAATTTTTGTTGTAATCTTTTCCCTGTGGCTCCCTCCCCCCACGCAAACCCCTCCCATTTGATTCCTTCCTGATCTGCCTGCAATTTGTGATGTATCAGACATCTTGGTCCGGTTCCCAGAGGACAGACGTACCACCGAAACTATACTCGGCCTTCAGATTCCCACCAGTCTCAAGGACTTGGTGACAGAGAAACTTGACTTCAGCTAAGCGAGCCCGACTCGCACCCGGCTTATGTAATGCATCTGTGAGTGTGATGAGCTTCAAGACAAATGTTCCTCCTTACCACCGCCGGCTGAGTGACAAAGATGCACTGCAAGAAGGAGAAGTAGACGGATTGCATCCAGTAGACTGACTTCACATCGCTGAACCTGGGGTCAAGGAAACGGATTCAGATTACGGTTATTTTTCAACCAAACACTAACAGTGTGGGCCCTACGAAAGTTGCATAACTTGCTTTCTGTGACTGGTTCTTGCAGATTACATATGCATTACTGCAGCTGACGATATTTAAACATCCAGATTTATTCCTTCTTTGAAATCGGCTTTTGGCGAAGGCTGTTTGGCGAGGGCTTCAACATCAACATTCTGACCTTGGACTATATACGGGCCTCTAACATTTGAGCACATGAAAAGGCTAGATATCACAACCAAAAGCAACATCAAGTCAGCATCTTTGAACTATGACAGTCTAATTTGGTTGCAAAGAAAAATTAACCATTTGGCCAAAAAAACAAAGGCCACAGTTTCTGGTTGGACGATGGCTCTAAAAGTGGTGCGGCAACGCAGCTTTTTTCCCCTCATTTTTTTCACCTAGAAATGACGTACGTATAATGCGCAATGTCCATCGCAACTCCACTGCGTACGTACTGCTGCTACCAACCCTGAAATAGACTAGCCCCCTCACTATTTATTGTTTAGAGGCATTTTCAGCTTGTAAATGTACACAGGACATAAGACCACCTTGTTTGTCTGGTTCCCAGATGTAAATGTTTAATACATAAATGACGTCTTCTGAAAAAGAGTGCCCGACTAAATGTGTGGGTCCCTAGAGGGCCTCCTTTACTGTACATATTACTAAACCGCACCCCATCTAAAACACATTTCAATTACGCAGTAGCAGGATTCCACTGATCAAGGAAGCTTGGCAGCTTTTGGACATCGTATTATGCCCAATAAAAAACGTTTTATTTAGCCGCCACGCAGGTCTACGGCGACACATGCACTGATCAGAAACCGGAGACTTTTTAGGGGGGCCTCATATTTTTAGTTATAATTATTATTTCAAAATGTTATAATTAGAATTGTCTTTCTTTTTCCTGTATTGTTGGACATATCCTCCAAAAGCTTTGGATGATGCCTCCACAGAGTGAACATGAATGTTATCGAAAAAGCTGACGTTGATCTTGCCTGGTACCCAGGACAAATTTAGTGCACAGGTTACCAAGGAAAATTGACCAGTGGTCGACAGATGGTCATTTCTCAAACTCGTTCCCAAATTGAGGTGGGTGGTGGATGTCTAGCGACGGACCTGTATCCGTAATAGATGGTCACCACAGCTGAGAAGACAGTGATGAAGCCACAGATGGCCCAGGCCAGCTTGCCGCACCAGTTGGGCAGCCAGATCTTGGGGTTAGCCAGTCGCTTGTGGTAAGCCTGGCAGCCGGCCCCTGCGGTGGCGAGCGCCCCATACCCTGACTCCAGGCTGCGGGTGTCCGGCGAGCTGACCCCGCTGTCTGAGACATCACTCGGGTGCTTGCCGGCGCTGCCACTCAGGCTGCTGCCACTCAGGCCGTCGTCATAGGCACTGGTGCTGCCACCGCTGCTGCTGCCGAAGCTGATGGAGTCATAGCTTTTGTGCATGTCGTCACTGTGGCTGGACGAACCCTAAGGACAGAGCACAAAACACGGGTGAGACTTGGAGATGAGGGGAAAGTCCAAAGTGTATGCAGACAAGGGTTTGATCAACGACGATAGAATACTATGACCCGTCACGACTCAAAAGCCAAGAGGGCCAAAATTCTCTCCCAAGTGATGTGATTACATCAGTTTTGCATGTAGCCCTCTAAGACAAATCTGAACGATTTTCAAGATGTAATTTTTTGCGTTGGGGATGTTAATTTATATAACGGGTTTTGCCCTTGCCCAACGTATATATTAATAAACACATAGAGCATACAGTGTTTATCAATATATACGTTGGGTAAGGGCAAAACCCGTTATATAAATCTGAATGACCAAACCTACAAAGCTACACCATCGTTGAGACAAAAATGCCTGAAATCTGGAAAATTTCCTGAGAAATCACATGGAAAAACTATATCACGATCGAAAAAAAAAAGGCAGCCAACCAGTCTGGGTCAATATCCACTGAAAACCTGCCTCTGTTTGTACAATGCTCAGAGCGATCTGGTATAATAAGGATGCTTGCAATGCTCCAGTCTCTACCTGAAGGACCCCGATGATCCTCACGACACCTCACAACAGTTGTAACCCATTTGGGTTTTTTTTTCTTTCCAAGTTTACCTTCAGCCTGTGCTTCCATTTCTCCTGCGCCCATCCCTGGAGGTCCTCCAAGGTGACGTCAGCACGCTCCCCCACGCCAGAATCCAGACTGCCCTGGTTGAGTATGGTCTCCACTGGGGCAGCTGTTTGTGGAAGATACCCGGGGGAACTTTGTTGAAGGGTCTGCACAACAGGGGCAACATTCCTAGACTGGTAGCACAGCTCAAACTGCTGCTTTGAAAGTCCGAGTTTCTCGGCAAACTTTGGGGTCAAATTTTTGGGCCCTGCTAACCATGGACAATCTCTGCTTGCTGCAACGAAGGTGCAGCAACAACAGTTAGCATATTTCGTGGGCGGCAAGAAAATTGGGATTCTGTGCATACGGGCATTCCCTATAAAGCATTCCGTGCCTGCTGGGTTGGTAAAAAATGTCTGTTTCATCTCCTCAAATGATCACAGCTGCACAATTTCATAGTTATCTATGCCAAGAAACTAGGCTGAGCCTAGAGCCTGTTGGGGCTTTTACAGCAGGCACATTTAACTTGTTGTAAGCAGGAAAACCACGACAATGTGGATTTAAGTTGTAAAGACTAAGCTGAAGGTTACACAAGGAAGAACAACAATTCCTTAGGAGCCATCACATGCTTCCAGTGGCAACACTAGTGTAAAGGACACCATTTGCAGTTAAAATCTTACCCGACTCGGGAAGCTCAATTGTTGTCTTGACACTCCTGAAGTTCTTTTCCTCCTCAATCTCTTCACGTCGGGGCTGTTGAGGTCAGACAACAATATTAAAGCATTGTGCAAAATATCTTGAATGCGATCGCTGCCGATCACATTTCTGTCTATGAACTATGACCTTATTTCTCCTACTGCTTCAAACTTACCCTCGCTCTACGGAAGACCATTATGATAGGGAAGTTCACGGGGATAGCCAGTATAGCTGTCACTATGCCAACCAACATGGCCTCTCCCGACACATCAATCAGGCCAAGATCTACCTCCTGTATAAAAAAGTCAGAATTTCCACTCTTGCTTTAATGACAAAAATCTTCTTCCAAAACTCAACTTTCTGAAGCTACTATGGGGAAACAACATTTATTATGTGGTTACATTTTCAATTTTTTTAGTGTGTATCAATTCTAGCTAGTCAGACAATACGATCCGAAATTACTCTGCTACAGCTTTAAATGACACAAGAGCCAATGTGAAATAGATGAAGCCGCCAGCTGAAGGCTTCCATAGGTTTAGGTGTTATTTCTAGCCATAGCCAAGCACATGGACTACGCCTTTTGATGCAGCTATCTCTCAGCTCATAGCCAACTCCTTACTTCACTGCTAGTTAGGGTGAGTCAGCTATGTCCAAAAGATGTGGCTACGGCAAACAGAAATGCACGTGTCTATGGGAAGTGGTTTCAGCGGTTAGCAAGTGTCTTCCATGGGCGAGTGCTACTGCTGGCCACAGACAATACAACTGGATGTGGCCTTCTGGCCTCAGATGCCACATGCTCTACGTGCGACTGTCACTTGATAGCCATTAACCGCCACTTTTTACCTCTTTGCCCAGGTGCTGGTACCAGATGGTGTTGATGCAGAGGAAGCCCATGGAAATGGACAGGCTGCAGGTCAGCCGCTGGATGCGGGTGAAGACGCTGTACGGGGGACGAGTGAAGATGGAGCTCCACAGGTAGTAGTCGGCAAAGTACTGGAATAGTTTGGCAAAGAAGGCCTGGCGAGGGGAAGGAAATGGCCAAATCTGGGTATAATTCAAAGTATGTTATGAATTCATCCCTCCAAGATCTCAAAAATCTACCCTCAATCCAATCTCAGGATGTACCTGAATTGGGCTGATTTAACAGGATTGAAGAAATGTACAACCCCCCCAGCATTACCTGAAAGTTCTCTTCGCATCTGTCCCTTGACCTACCAATCAAATACATAAAAGTCCCCCCCTTGCAAAAAGAAGACAAACTCCCTTGTAACAGGAGGCACCTACCTTCTGAAAGCCGACCCCCTTGTCCAGGACCTCAAGGTCCCGCTCGATCCTCCCGTCGTCCTCCTCCACGGCGAACCAGCGCTCGCAGATGAAGTACCACTTGCGGCCAGTCAGGAGGTCGCGGACGGCCACCCGGCTCAGGAACCAGCTGGGGGAGTGGCCGGCGTTGTTGTGCCAGACGTGGAGCCTCCGGAGGTTGCCCAGCGACTCGGGGACACTGGGAGACACGGAATAAGAAGAGGAATTCCAAATGTAGGCCACTCCAGGACAGTAATACAGAAATGTGACTACTGGATGGTTTTATACAACACCAGGAAAAAGGTTAAATTGCAGTAAAAGTGACTAAAGCTGTTTTGTGTTAGACGTCTCATTCTTTACGTCGATTTTGTAAATATGAGGTTCTATTGACAGCACCAAGACACAACTGCAGTGGTCCACAAGACCCAACCTCAGACTAGTCCAAGACATGACCAATCTGTCCCAGCTTAGCCTTGCCTAACCTAACCCGGCCTCGGCAAGCCAGAGCCCAGCTTAACCCACCCAAGCCCGCCACAGCTCAGACAAATTCAGCTCAGCCCAGTCCAGTCCAATCCAGCCTAGCCAAATCAATGAGTTTCTCACTCCAAATCTGCATTCTGGATCTGTGGGGCGATTTCCGTTGGCTCACCTGACAATGAATCGGTCCCTGGAGTTCTTCTCAAAGATGGGCCGACCCTTGCAGATGAGCTCCTTGGTCTCTGAGTGGGCCTCGTTGCCATGCAGTACCATACTCACCCTGGCCGTGGTGCCGGCCCCTGCCCGCATGCCCGTCTCGACAGTGATCTCGTAACTTGTCAAAGAGAGAAACACAGAGATCTTTTGTTCAGTATGAAGCACAAAGGAACAAGATAACTTCCAGAATTCAGTACTATGATTTAGTCTCAAATGTGAAACTTATAATGTGCAAACTCTTCAGGTTTTAGCAGGTAAAAAGTAGCCATTTTATAGAACTGACGGCATTTCAAAGCCATTTCCAAGTCGTGGCCCAACGTAACAAAATGAGTACCAAGTCGCCACAGCACTACTTGAGTGAAAGGCCTTCAAGGGAATCTTGCACTGTGTACATCAAAGGGAGCCCTCTAACAGTTTTCACCCCACATTTTGTCCTTTTCATCCAGATGCCTAATTGGGCGACACAACTTGACAACAAGCAGCTTTCTCTTTCTTCACAGAATTACTGAAAACATGGCCTCGAGTAGTCTCATTTTGTGGCATCCAGTCACACTGTCTGATCTGACCTACTCCACTGACTTCTTGCCAATTGACTGCGAGGCCTTGCATTCACACTCGCTGAAATGGATTTGTTGAAGGTCAATAAACACAAGGCTTGGAGAAGCAGCTGAACACTGGATCTACTCACTACTGCTGGTCGGCCGGCTGGTTGTCCGACAGGTAGATGAGCCCCAGCTTTCGCTCGTCGTGCTTGTCGGCCAGGTAGCAGTAGACCAAGAGGACAATGTAGATGCCCAGGATGCCGACCGTGAAGGAGTAGGGGATGGGATTAGTGATGGGCCTGGGGATGAAGAGGATGACAGATTATTCCCAAGGAATTAGGAATATATCTAAGGGCTTTAGCTAGGTACGGAAATAGCACAGGCAGTCAATAAGTCTTGGGAAATTGCCCTCTTGCCTGGGTCTTGTGATGTGGGGAAATTTCAATATACAAGAGTTGTAGTTGCTTTAGAATGTCTTGATGAAAAACCAATGAAGTTTTCGTCTTCATCCAACTCTAAGAGGCAGAAAAAGAACACGGGAAAAAGACAGAGCCTCACGTGTCAAACACTGTCAGGCTGACAACATCCAGGATGACGGAGATAGGCAGGAAAGTGACCCCGAAGGCCGTCAGGTGGTTGCACTTGCAGCGGGTCAGCTCGTAGGTGGAGGAGTGCATCACCTCGCAGCCGTCACCCACCCAGGCATCTGAAGGGGGAGGAGGGAGGGAGGGGTAGGGGGAAAAGAAAGCATGCGGCTTGACTTGATTTTGAGTGAGTGGCTTCTCGTGGAGAGGAACCAGATCACCAGGGTTGCAGCTGTGCTGCCCGGGGCTAGCCAATGTTCCAAATAGCCAGCCGGCACTCGAGGGGTGAAAATAACACTTGCTGGCCAGCACAAATTTGGCTGCATTGTGTGCCGATTCACATGCGTTCTCTCTTTGGCAGCATTGCATGCTGCTGATGCTGCATCAGCTAAGCCAGCCACGCTGTTGGAGTGCTCACCATTTTGGGTGTTCCAATAGAGGCATTCTCCCCACCACAGTCGCATCAGGTACTGCCGCGTGCTGACCTCATCCTGTCCGTAGCTGCTCTCGCCGTACTCGGCATCAATGAGGGCTAGGTAGTGCTTGCCGGTCGCTGCGGGACATAGTGAAATACAGAAAGGGTTTGGTTGACACATTATCAGATGAATGAAATCAGATGAAAACAATGACGGATTACCTTCGCAAAATGCAAGCCTAAAAATGATGGCAATTCCCAGCAGCAGGTCTTTTGTTCCTAGTACGGTCTTTTGTTACACAGACCAGCTCTTTTGTCCAATTTTGGGCAGCCCGGCTCTGCGTATAAGCCCATGGTGCTCCAACTGAGGTTCCCCGGCAGCAAGTGGTTCGTACTACTTTAACAGACTGGCAGTTGTTTTTTTCCTCTTCTCAAGTTTGAAGCATGTAGCACGGTTCACTACACCAAACTGAATTTTATGCACAGAAGCTCTGGACAATTGGAAAGCAACCTAGTCAAACCCCAGGGCCAACGTCCACACCTAACCTGTTCCTAATATGACAAAATATGTAACACTAGTAACAGCTGGATTGAATATGTACCATTGAACGTATTTGGAGGGAGAAAGAGGACTAGATCTTCGTCCTCTTTCTCGTACATCCAGGATCTGTCGTACTCGATTGGAGTGGGCCTGATGCCATACCTACAAGAAAAAAACACACACAATTTAACAAGAAAAAGGAACAAAGGAAAAATTGAGGGATGTGCAGAAGCACCAGCAAGTTTGAAAATGAAACGCAAAACAGAAATTCAAAATTTCACAGAAAGACGTGTGATGTAGATTTCATGGAATTTTAAACTCTATTTTCAAAAGGTTTCTCACACTTTTTAATTCCTTCTATCAGTACTTCATTGGGCTGGTCATTTTTATTTCCATGTTGGCATACGCTTGAAGTCATCAACTGGAGCCAATCTCCGAGTGCTCCTTACGCAAAAAATTTGTTTAAGCGTGAAAAAACCTTGCTTGACAAATCAGGTTACCAGCCAAAACTTCTTGTAAATGTGTATTGTTTTGGAATGGTATTTACCTGTCTTTTGGTTAGCATGACGAGCCAGAGTTTAAGCTGGTAACCTTTGTTTATTAGGTGAATTTTTTTTGTGCTTAAGCATATTTTGTACTTAAGCAGCTCTATGACACTGGCCCCTGGACACTGTTAGTCCTGAACCACGGTAACGTACCATTAGCTCCAAGCTTGAAACTTTCAGAGTCAGTCAACAGAACAGTTTTGCCAGTGAACAATGTGTCAGCGATACTTCCGACCAGATCGGAGTCATTTTGACCCGTGGCATTCATCACTATCTTCCTAGCACGAATACCACGGATTCGTGGCGTGATTTAAAAAAAAAAAAACAAGCAAAAGGGGCAAGGCCTGTTCTAAAACAGACCTCATGATGAGCTTGACGGGGAAGGTACGTCGGGTCTCGGGGGCTAGCCGCACCATGATCTGGAACGCTTGGCTGACGCCCTCCTCCGACACGTTGAACTCGTGGACGTTCATGAAGGCCTTGTCAAGGGTGAGGTTGCACATCAGGGAATCCTGTTGAAAACCAAAGCAGAGCAGAAATGCTTGAAACCCTCACATTAACCTCAATGTCTCACGTTATCCTAAATACCAGCAGGTGCATCACTGAAATCTAAGGGGGGGTGCTAGGCAAAACAGACGTAATAGTTGTCACAGCAATTTCATTAAGTACTTAGAGAGCTGCAGTTTTTGAACAGTTGTACTGGCCACTAGCTGGCTCTAGTTCTTTGTCCTCAAAATGTTCAACGAAGACACGAGTGACAATATAAGGATACTTGATTGTATTTCCAAGGTCAAAAGAGAGAACTTTTCAGCCACGAAATGGTCCTGACAGAAGGCTGATAAAAATGTATTGAGTTTATGGCAGTGCTCTGGTTCGCATGTATTTTTACTAAAACAACGACATGGCTTCATACCCCAAGGGAGCCGCAAGTGTGCGCCACTTCAAACACGATTTCTTTGCCGGCCGTCAGATTCTCCACCTTCAGCTCCTGGCCTGTGCACGAGTGCAGCGTGAGAGATGACACGTCCGAAGTCACCTGTTAAGAATCAGTGCAAGTATCCCAGGGACATCCAGTAAATTTGGCGTGAGAGCAGAGTTTCCAACCTTGCGCACCCTGGCTAATGCCGTGGCCTACCATGATGCACAGGAGATACGGACATCTTGCATGCAAAAACGGGCATTAAGCAGTAAATTCATGGTTCAAATACGGGTGCTGAACAAGTCCAGGTACGTACAAGTAGCCAATACCCAACTCGGGTATCAAAAACGTTCCGGCAACTTATCACCAAACCTGAGTATCTGTAAAGTTAGTGCACATTTATTCAAAATTATGTTTGAAATTTTCATCAGCCGGAAATCTTCCAAGTGCAGAACAGTTTCCGTTCTTTCTCGTGAACTCATTACGGCAGCAGAACGGTGTTTCCGTGGACTGGACTTACTTTGTGGGCACCCTCTCCCCAGAGGTAAGGGTTGGCCCGGTAGGTGACCATCTCCAGGTCCCAGCAGGGGATGGCCATGTCGTGGCACGTGTAGGTGCCAATCACGCCCCCGCCATTCTGGGCGTGCAGGACCTGCTCCAGGCCAACGGGCAGGGTGAAGGCGTTGCGGCCGGCCGTCAGGTCAACGGAGGCCAACGACGTCTGCCGGGCGCCCAGGAGGTCCACCGCATGGGTATGGATGAGGAGGGGCTCCTCGTCTGGCTTCTGCAGCTGGAGGTAGGTCTGTTGTACAGACAAAAAATAAAAAAAATATTAGGCAATTTGCCCACCTTGTTAAAGTACCCGACCTTGTTAAAGTACCCGACCTTGTTAAAGTACCCGACCCAACCAATTCATACATGAGCTGATTCATCCACTTGGTCCCCACATCTTTTTCTTATACCATTTCTATTAAGCCCTGCCCACTCCAGTAACGTCTGTGCTTCACCACAACACCGCCATGTTTAATTGAACTAAAAAAAAAGGCAGATCTCGTGTCAATGTATGCATCCAAGTTTTGTGGGGGCATTTTGGTCGTGTAATCCCTACTATAAACAGTAAAACTATCACAGGGTTTGACTTTGGGTCCCTGCGCTACCAATAATCAGTAGCACAGCTTCTCTCTCGTCATTATACGAAGCATTTTGTCTTTGTTGCCGTTGGCTCTTATTCTCACTCAATGTTCCAGCAGGCACTGCTCATGCTTATAGTTTCGTTGTTTTAATTTTGATTTATCTCTGATTGTTGTTCACATTTTTGATCTGGGCATGGCAATGTAAGTCCCCAGCTTCCGCCTATGCCACCATATTACTCCGTGTATTATTTACCGTGTTCCTAATTTGATGGATTTTCTTTGTTTACTTGTAATGCAAGTTTAGGATTCTCATTTAGAAGATCACTTTGTGTGAAACACCTCTTGCTTTACTTGCAACATCACAGTAAATAAAGCTATGGACTAGTAGAGAAAGCACGCATCTACTCGTAGTCATACCCAAGTTGCATAAGCCATTCGTAGGGCACATCGGACGTGGAACGGCAGGGGACACCAGGCGGGCCTGATAACCTACCTGCAATAGCCCCTGGACGGCCCCCACAGACCTCTGGATGGCCAACTTGTGGTGCCGCCGCCCGATGGCCTGGGTGTGGTCCATGGCCAGGGCGCTGACCACGCTGGACGTGGTGCTGGTCAGCGCCACCAGGATGTCCACGTCCAGCTGGCCCAGGAGGTGGGCGTTGGCCACCGCGCTGGTCATGCTGGAGTTGACGGACTGGGCGGCTAGGATCACAGTGTTGATCGGAAGCTGGAGAAGCCAAAATACATGAGAAATCAAAATCGAATTTTCTCTCCAACAAATGGTCTAATGCTTCCCTCATTGTTGCATTAGCTGTGTGTGAAAAAATAGGCCATGTTTAACACAGACTTCTTGAGCTACGGCTGCATCTCATAATCAGTGGCGAGTACTTGCCGATTTGGAAACTGTGAAAACCTAGACCTAGCCACAACTTTGCGTACCACCAATATGGGGTCCTCTCCTGCCCATTTCTTCTTCCAATATCATTTGTAAACCTCTTCACGGTTGGCACATACGTAAACTCTTAGAGGGGGGTGCACTCGGTACATCCACTCAATTATTTCAATAAGTACAAAGCTCCCTTTATGGTCTCCGTCCTCGGTAGGGGAGGGGGGAAAAGAGGAATGGTTCCAAGACAAGTTGATACCTCCAGGGGCACGTAGCTGCTGGCTGCGGTTGCCATGCTGCTCTGCTGGATCTCCAACTGGTCCCTCATGGGCAGGGTGATAAGGGCCGAGACCAGGGCCGACCGGATCTGCCTGCGCAGCGACAGCAACTGCAGCATGCACAAGAGGGGAGGAAAGACGAATCACCTTGGGCTCATCTCCCTCGCAGTTCTTGCTATTAAAGCTAACGATACTCTCAAAATCTCCCCCAGTGTAGGAAAGCGATGGCATACTATTTCTACTTTGATTTTCAAGCAGCAACAAAGTCTTGGGAAAGTAAGAGGTAGGGATTCCCCCTCATAAATCCTGCTACTCCCTACCCAAAACGTATGGTCTCAAGAGGGTTCACCTGTGGGTCTGAATCCAACCTATGGTTAAAGGCACATTTACTTCCTCTCATTCTGGAAGGCAGACGGGTTGTCTATTGTGGTTGGGTAAATTCCATTCTTGTTTTGAAAACGAGTGATCAGCATTTTGTTCTGATTGAGAACAACTCGGGGGAAGAAGGATCAGAAATTATTTGAAAATGATCCCATCTTGAAAAGCCTACAGAAACAGTCAA